AGCCATGCTTGAGATCTGCTTTTTCTGAAGCTTTTTAAAAGGCATTAAAGTTCAATACAGTTAAGTTGGAATAAATCAATTTTCTGACTGTAGTAGCATATATTGTTTGTTTCCAGAAAAAAAGTCAATTTTTTGCCCCCCAAATCTGCTTGCTCAAGCACTGTTATAGAACATGAATTGTGCATAGGTTTTAAATTATATTAGTGTGTAAAAATATTTTACTCAAGCATTTGCACACATTTTATGCTGAGGAAGGATTAATCATTGCCACTGCAAAGGAAATTGGCTGAATTAAGGAAAATAGTAGACTGTAATCACTGCTGCTTTTCTGTTTTGGTTAAAATCTATTGACTAAAAACTAGTATATAAATATAGCAATTATTATAATAAATCAATTTAAAACAATATAGCATCTAAACAGTTCATTTTATATTATTATGCTATAATTTTTTATAACAATCTGTGCTATAAACTGTTTAATATACAGTTCAATTCACATTATTATGCTATAAATATATTGCTGAATAAATACCATATTTTCCGGCATATAAGATGACTTTTTAACACAGGAAAATCATCTCAAAAGTCGGGGGTCGCCTTATACGCCGGGTACCCGAATCTGAGTTGCTGGCACTGACCGATGACACTACGGGAGCGCCGACAACATTGAGGGGAAGTTGTACTCCGAATTAGTTCCAACCTACAAGAGGTGCCAGGCAGTGCGTGGCCCCCGAGAAAGGAACGCGTCCCCACTCTACCCCGGAATTCGGGTCACCTTCCTTCCTTTCCCAGCGGTCCACGGTGAAAGCGGCGCCGCGGTCGACCTGGGCCAGTGCCTTGCACACCTGGCTCTGCGTCTCCATGATGAGAAGCTCCATGCAACTTCGCATGTCTCCGCGCCGGTCGCGCAGCTCTCACAATCCGCTCACCGGAGGAGCCATGAAGCTCTCGCACAGCCTTGCCAGATCTTCCTCGTCCTCCTTTCCCCACGGCTTTTCTGGTTGTAATTGCTGCTGCTGCTGCTGCTGCCACCGAAGCTGCTCCTTCATCTCCGCCCGCCACACCAGACCCAGCCTGGCCAGCACCGCTGTGGCTCCCGCAGTCCAAGCGAGCGCCGATCGCTGCCACCCACCATCGCCCCAACGGGAAGAACAGCCCGGCAGCAATTCCAAGGAGCCCGAAGCGAACATCCTGGAGCAGTGCGGGCCAGCCCAGAGGCTTAAACCCCAGGCACCCAGATGCCGAACCCCGCACAGCAGAAAAGACATGACAGCCGGTGCCAGTTCCTTCTTCAGCCGTCCGGATCGGCGCCAAGCCAGGAAAGTGCGCTGCGCACTCCCACCCTTCGCCTGCGAGCCCAGAAGAGGTGGGGAAATGCAGAGCAATACCTTGTGGGGAAGGAGTACAGTTTCATTGGCAATCCTGCCCATCCCTAACATTGCATTTAGAGTACAACTCCCAGCAGCGCCTGTGGGAGAAAAGGGACGTAGAAGCAAGAAGGGGCACAACTTCCCCTCAATGTTGTCGGTGCTCCCGTCGCGTCATCAGTCAGCGCCAGCAACTCAGATTCGGGAAGCTGTGCCGATCTCAACAAGGCTGCATGGGTGAAGGAAAAAAACCTGGTACAAAATAGCCCTCTTGCCACTACACGTAGCGTAGCCCATTACCTTGACAGGCAGATGTACAGCCTGGCTCATAGGTATCTCTACAGTACAGCAACAATACATACAGTACAGCAACAGTACATACAGTACAGTATACAAATAGCTAACAGTCAAGACCCCATCATGGCTTCACCAGCAAGAAGAAAGAAATATGAAGCCAGTTTTAAACTTAAAGTTGTAAACTTTGCCATGGAACATAATAACTGTGCTGCTGCAAGACAATATGGAGTAAGAGAAAAGATGGTTTGGGACTGGAAAGCAAATGTAAAAGCATTAAAGAGTATGCCAAGGGGTAAGTGTGCATTAAGAAGTGGCACCCCACATTGGCCAGAACTCGAAAAACATGTAGCAGACATGGTGAATGAGCATTGCCAAAACGGTTATGTAGTGACATGAAATAAAATACATTTGTTTGCACTTCAGTGGGCCAAATCTAATCCAGATCACAGCAACAGATTTAAGGCCACTGTATCCTGGTGTACTAGATTCTTGGAAAGGCATAATTTGGTACTGAGGCAAAAGACAAAAATTGCCCAAAAATTACCTGCAGATCTTGATGCCAAAGTAAATAGTTTCCATCGATATGTAATAAAACAGCGCAATAAACATGGCTATGCGTTAAGTAGTATCGGAAATATGGATGAAACGCCAATGAATTTTGATATGATTGGAAATAAAACTGTCCATCCAAAAGGTGAAAAAACAACAGGACATGAGAAGTCCAGTTTTACAGTGGTACTAGCATGCACAGCTGATGGCTCCAAACTGAGACCAATGATTATTTTTAAAAGAAAAACAATGCCGAAACTAAAGTTCCCTGTTGGTTGTTTTGTACACGTGAATGAAAAAGGCTGGATGGATGAAGAAGGGGTAAAGCTATGGCTTGATAATGGCTTTGAGTAAGGTGGACTTACTCAAAAACGTAGTCTACTGGTGTGGGATATGTTCAGGGCTCATTTAACTCCCAGCACCAAGCAAAGGCTTGCAAGAATAAACACAGATGCGGCAGTTATTCCTGCAGGATTGACATCGTTGGTACAGCCACTGGATGTGTGCCTAAACAAGCCATTTAAAGATCACATTCGAGAACAGTGGAATGAGTGGATGGTTAGCGGTGAAAAGTCATTCACAAAAGGAGGAAACATGCGTGCTCCACAGTTGGATGTTTTGTGCAAATTTGTTATAAAAGCCTGGAATGATATTGATGCAGAAAGAGTAATCAAGTCTTTCAAGAAGTGTGGCATATCAAATTCATTAGATGGTATGGAGGACAACTACTTGTGGCAAGATGAAGAGGAAGCCGAAGCTGAGACCACACCATCTGATACGGAATTATAACCATATGATGACTGCCTTACAAATGTATCACAAGATGTCATTGTTGTACTTATGATATCAGATGACGAACAGGAGGATTTTGAAGGCTTTTAAAGGGAAACTGTCACGCCATCAAAACCTGTAAAAATAGCTTGCAGTTATGATGGGCGTTGCTGACTCGCCAGGGACTTGCCCGGCACTGGCTCTCTATTGTTTGTTTACATGTTTGATGTTTACATGTTTGATGACAAATAGCCTTATGTTTATAAGTGACAGTTTTCCTGCTAAGTACCTGCATGTCATAAGCATTTGAATTAAAATTACCATATTGAAATCAAATCTGATGTTTTTTAATTTTTATTTGGTGTGCATTGGAAGAGAGGTAGTCTTATATGGCGAGTATAGCCCAAACCCTATATTTTAACAGGAAAAGTAAGGGGTCGTCTTATACACCCGTCTTATACACCGGAAAATACGGTAACTGTGGTTTTTTGAAACCATGGCAGAGTGGTATCTCTGCTTTTTAGTATGCTGTCTAGATTTGCCATAGCTTTACTCCCAGGAGCAAGCATCTTTTAATTTCTTGGCTGTAGTCCCCATCTGCGGTGATTTTGGAGCCCAGGAAAATAAAATCTGTCACTACCTCCATTTCTTCCCCATCTACTTGCCAGGAATTGAGAGGGACAGATGCCATGATCTTAGTTTTCTTAATGTTGAGTTTCAAGCCAACTTTTGCATTCTCCTTCACCCGCATCAAGAGGCTCTTTAGTTCCTTTTCACTTTCTGCCATTAAAGTGTTTCATCTGCATATCTGAGGTTGTTGATATTTCTCCCAGCAATCTTAATTCCAATTTTTGATTCATCTAGCCCCGCCTTTCTAATGATGTGCTCTGCATATAAATTAAATAGGCAGGTCGAAAGAGGCAATGTGAGGCAGAGGGACATGCATGGAGAGTGCTGATCCATAGAGTGGCCGAGGGTGGGACACAGGGTGGATAAAAATCAATGTTTTTTTTAAAAAAAATCAAAAAAATCAGATTTTTTTTATTTAAATTGGATTTTTTTGATTTTTATCGAATTTATTTTAATAAAAAACTTTTGGGGTAAAAATCTATCATAAGATAGTTTTCTATTTAAGATACATAAATAATTTAGTTTATTCAGCATGAAATAGAGCTTAGTTATGTAGCATGAGGCTGTATATTCTGCAACACTGGGACTCTCAGTGAGTCAACAGCAGGTCAAAGGAGTAGCAGAGATGACAGTTGCCCTTTAAAAATTATGATTTAAATCGAGTTGATTTAAATCAAGCCTTTTTACTAGTGATTTAAATCATGATTTAAATTGTGATTTAAATCAACTTGATTTAAATTGTGATTTAAATCAACTCGATTTAAATTGTGATTTAAATCAACTCGATTTAAATTGTGATTTAAATCAACTCGATTTAAATCAAATCCACCCTGGTGGGACACAACTGAATGGCTGACATCAATGACTATGTAACAAGATATTGTTCAAAACTCTTTTACCACTATTTCAAGGATACATCGTTATATTCAAATTCCTATTTTTAATCCAGTTTGTACTACAGATTATACTCTGCTTTGACTCTTTCAGGTATTGAGTATCAGATTAGTTATACATTAAAAAAATTGAACATGGTATGCTTAAATGTGCAGGCAGACCATTAATAGATATTCATTCTTCTGAAATCTAGCCTTTAATGGAAAAGTGTCAGTTGCATATGTACATACCAGCATCCGCTATCAGAAAAATGTGTTGCATATTTTTTTCTCAATTTTAACTTCTTTATCATGATTATAATCTTTTACGCATACCCAAATAAAGCACCACAGCATGATTTATTTCATTGCAGTGCCAAAGTCGCAAGTTTTTTATTTTATTTTGGAAGTATGCCACTTTTTGCCCCATCAGTAAAAGCCTTACAATAATACCGCTATTATGCTAATATTATTCTAAAACTGTTTTTCCTTTTCCCTGCTTCTCTCACTGTAGATGGGCTTGGGACATGAAGAAGGATTTGGAGCCCAATGTTTAAAATGTAAAGATAAATGTGAAGGATTTGAACTACACTTCTGGAGGTAAAATTATATATAGAAACGTGGAGAGAGGGGGGGAGAGAGGGAGAAGGGAGGGAGAGGGGAGGACGGGGGGCGCAACACATATGCACAGACACACACACGCTTTAAAACCTACAGTTTAATATTTTTCCACTAGGTGGGAGTATAACACTTGTTACAGTAAAGAAATTTTCCTATGAATACCGAGAAAAACAGAATTCTCCATTTACTTATAAGGAAAATTCCTAACATACCAGTTGAGGAATTTAAATTACTGCTATGTGTCCAATAATGTAAAAGGTCTTAACTCTGCATAATTGTGATAATTAAATTTCTTTTAGGATAAGGTGTCCAATTTAGTATTCCAGGACCATATATGGCCTGGAATTATACTTCAGTGCTTTCAGATTTTGGGATCTTGGTTGTGGCTCACATCGTAGAAAGAAGAATGTGAATAAAACCTTTATATTCTTGAGCATTTTCAGAAATCTGGGGAGATTTGTGTTGTGCAGAAGAGACTCCAAATTGCTGTTAATAATAAAAACATAAAAATATAGCTGCTGGATCAGATTGGTTACATTGATCGAGCAGAACTTTGTGGAGTGACCAGAAGCAGAAAGTAGAGGCAGATCCATATTCCACTGTTGTGTGCCCATTGTTATTGAAAGGGATGTTGTTTAAATTAATGATAACAATCTAATCTCAGAATTAGTAGTTTTGAATAGTTCTGTTTGTCTTTGCCTTGGAAGGTACTGACCTAAATTAAAATTATTATCAACACAGTTCATTTTAAATTTTTCTGAAATGTAACCATTACTTTCCTAATGGTTTGGATGTAAATTGGGAAACAGTGTATATACTCTTGTATTTAGATATAATTTAGAAGGAAAACCTATAGTTTAAAAATTATAAATTGAGACAAAAATCAGTTAAGTATATTATAAAAACTAAAGATAGTGAAAATACAATAAAATTGGTAGTTTTAAATCATAGAACTACAAACATCAAATGCTGTTTCATTCATTATAACTTTATTTATTTAACAGGTTTATATAACCGTTCAATTCACAAATTTAAAATCCAGTTTAACTCCCTGACCCCCTCCTCTTTGCTATTTATTAACAACAGAACAAGTAAACTCATGCTACATCCCATAAAGGCAAGTTCTGAAATGTGGATGCTATTTAAAAGTCCTTCTCAAGACTCATTAGATGCCCATAGAAGAAAGATCTTTAATTCAGGGTTGAACTATGAAGTCCTGAGTGCTCTCTGAGCTTGATTGTTTTCTTGCAGACATTTCATTATCCAACTAGATAAAATCTTCAGTGTTAGAATTAAAGTAAATTGGGATTCTGCTGGGCTGAATAAGTTCTACAAAACCAATTCTATTTCCATGTATCTATGTTGCCTAAATTATGCTTCTCTTTTGAACCTAGAAAAATATGTCGAAATTGCAAGTGTGGGCAAGAGGAACATGATATTCCCACCAGTAATGAAGATGACCGCAAAGTGGGGAAGCTCTTTGAGGATACAAAGTATACAACTCTAATTGCAAAGCTGAAATCAGATGGTATCCCCATGTATAAGCGTAATGTAATGATACTGACTAATCCTGTGACAGCCAAGAAGAATGTGTCCATCAATACAGTAACTTACGAATGGGCACCTCCTGTTCAGAATCAAACCTTGGTGAGATATCAGTTTATGATCATAAAGACTCATATGTTAGTGAGGAATAATTATCCTTTCTGCTTATGGTAGAGTTGGGAGGAGACAAGCAAGTCAGGAATAGTCTCTTGGCGGGCAGCAAGTATATATAAGGAATGTAATATGCAAATGACATAATTGTCTCAGCTATAATTCATGATTGAATATGCAGATAAGACGAAATTGGTTTTCTGATTTTCCTGTGCAAGTTTCTCTTCAAGCAGCCAAATGCAATTGGTTTGCAGCATGGATATAAGAAAAATAATGGTGTTTGAATGAGACTAAGAAGGAAGGGGACACGAGTTTGTGTTCATAGTTAGGAGTATTACATTGAAGGCATCCCAGCCACTTAAGATGATTTATGAATCCCCCAAATGAACCATTTTAAAATGACATCCTGAAATGGGACACCACACTGGAAAAAAAAAACCCATGAACCTATGTCATCACTTAAAGGCTAAGGAATAGCACTCAAGCATGCACATTTCTGTTACTGTATATGGTCAGACTAAATTCAGTATTGTCAACCAAAAGAAAAAGCTCCCTCTGGTTTATTAAACTATTCTTCTAGATGAGGTAGTTGGATAGCCTTGTTGGGATTTTTCTTTTTTCCTTTTAGTGCTTCAATCCTAAGTTTATATAATGTCATGCTGGGTGATCTAAAACAGAAGCACTTGTAAACATTAAAGGGCTAGGTTTTAGGGATTATTTAAGAAACACTGTGAAGATATTTGTCAGATTTGTTATATTTTGCCATTAGGAAAAATAATCCCTTTTCTGTTGAGAGAAAATAATCCTTCTGTTGTCAGGAGACCAACAGCAAATCATAGTTAGGGTAAAAGCTAACTAATAGCTAAAAGTATTCAGTGTTAGCTGAATACTAGCGCTGAGTGGCAGTGGAGGAAAGCCACACTTTTATAACTTAAAATCTAAATTCTGGCTCCTTGTTCCAGGTGACTCAGCAGCTCCATCTCCCCCATGCACACCTTGCTATCCATTTCCCCTGAAGATGAGCAATTTCTACAGAGCACTTCTAATCTCCTTTCCTTTTTTGTTTAGAAAGCTGGAATCCCATGGACCATTAATTCTAGCCCTCTCTCCTCACTCTTTAGGCGAGGCACTATATGCAGATGCTTCCAAAGGAGAAACAGCCTGTAGCTGGCTCGGAAGGGGCTCAGTACCGCAAGAAACAGTTGGCCAAGCAGCTCCCTGCTCATGATCAGGACCCTTCCAAATGCCACGAGCTGACACCTAATGAGGTGAAGCAGATGGAGCAGTTTGTGAAGAAATACAAGACCGAAGCGCTGGGCGTGGGTGATGTCAAGCTCCCCAGTGAAGTGGAAGGGAAAGCCGGGGAGAAGGATATCCTGAGTAATGGCGAAAAGGGAACGTCCACTACCGTAGGAGCCATGGAAGACCAGGCTGGTCAGAAAGGAACTCAATATGTAAGTGGGTGATGCATGTGTAAGTGAGTGTGCGTGTTCAAACAGAAGATCAAAGAAAATAAATTAGTTGGAGGTTTATTCTCTCATAATGTGCTTCCTGTGTTTGCAACTTAATGTATTATAACTTTGTCTCTTTAAAAAAAAAGAAATGAGAGTTTTTGCTTGCATAAAATCTTATCCCTTTAGATGCTATTATTTTAAGGGGTTTTTCTGCAAACTAAAATTGGTAGAACAAAAATAAAAGCCTATGGTGACCAGTATTGGTGGTGGGAAAGGGATCCATAGAATCTGAAAATTTCTACTGCTGATTATACTAATGGAAAAATGACCTTGGAGATCATCTAGGCCAGCCCCATGCTCAGTGCAAGAATCTTTCTTTTAGCAAGTAACTGAGATGTAGCAGTGCAGGATTTGCTTAAATATTTTTAGGGGCTGTCACCATATATTAGACAGCCGCAATTAAAAAAAAATTCAAAAGCTGAGCCAAAATATCCACTTCATAATTAGAATATCTTCTGGGCAGCAACAGAAAGCAATTCAACCATGCAGAGCTCTTACAATATTAATTTAACATGCCTAACTGAAGATCTGCATAGAGATCAATATTTTATCTTTTGCTGGTGAGCGAACTATATTTAGATGACAGCCATTAGTTCCCCAAAGTAGTGTGCTGTATTATTTCTTTTTAAATGTTTTTCAAGAGGAAAAATAATAATCCTGCAGGAAAACAAATCTCCCTAGAGGTGGAGAGAGGAAACTGACCATTGAATGGGAACCAACAAAAGAAAGCCGATCTTATTTCCTCTTTTCCCACTTAATTTAAAAAGAAGGTGCTTTAGTTCCACTTTAAAATTGAATTTACAACTTCCTCATTGTTTCTTTCAATCAATGAGTCAGAAAAACAGATACTCTGGAAAGCCAGTGTGCTATACAGACACAGATGCAAGTCTCCCCTCTGTTTATCGATGCTCATGGGGAGACTTTCTGGCTGAGGTGGGAGAAAATATGACGAAACTTTGGTAACCTGAGATTTGGACACTTTTCTCTTTCTCCAGAGTGGCCACAAAAGGCAGACTTCAAATATCTGCTGCCTAACTTAAATATATTATCATTTTCTGAAATTCAGACTGAGTGGATTTAGTTAAAGTCACACTGTTAAAGTCATGAATGATTGACACACTCAGGAACAGAAATAACTATTTAACTCTGTACCCTTTTAAATAATTTGGGGTTATCACTATGATGCTTGTGGCCCCAGCTTATTTATTGACACCTTCTTTGCATGCCCTCCAAAGTTCTTATCCCATCTTTTTAAATGACACTGGTATGTTGCCTCCAAGCATTTTTATTTTCAATAATGCTTTAGGATCCCATGTAAATGTCATAAGCCTTCTTAAAAAATAAAAAATGGGAAATGGTTGTAGTCTAGTATAATGTTTCTCAGCCTTGGCAACTTTAAGATATGTGGACTTCAACTCCAGAATTCTCTAACCAGCAAAGGTTGAGAAAGACTGGTTTTAGGGCCTTTGTTTGAAAGTGTGCTCTACTTTAGGGGACAATAGGAAATTTCCTGGAAGGCAGTGAACAACCTCAACTGTTTCAGGGACATATTTCCATAATTTCCCAAAGGTAGGAAATTCATGAAACATACCAGTTTATGGTCCATAGTATGTTCTTGTCATATATAAAGAAAAACAGGACTTCCATTTTTTTAAAAATGGTTGTGTTCTAACTTTTTTTTTGCAACCATACCAGGAAATATATTTCAATAATATTTTTGTCTGTTACTGGTAAATATTTTCTAATGTTTGAGAAACTGTTACAAACTGTAACAAAACTTGTAAATCTCAGGCTGATTCACAATTTTATTTAAAAGATCTGTTTAAATAAAATACAAGCTAGACTAGAGCATAGATTAAAAAGAATATTGCAGTTTCATTAGATTACATGTATTGTTTCTAGGGCATTTGGAAAGATTGCCCCTGCTACTAGTTCTTTGTGCTCCCACAATAACTGTGAGATATGTCAGTTGACTTTCTCACATGTTTCATTAATCTAATCTGATAAATACAATCTGAAAAAGAGGAATAGTAAAGAATTAATACTCCACACATATTCAGCTACGATTCCTAGATTGGTCTGTTAGAGGTTGGAATTTAGATCACAAGAATAGCATAACATTTCCATCCCATGCTAAATCATGAACTATTCAGTAACCTAAGGTTCATCACATAACCAGCCATTCACCTTTAAGGCTGATTGGAGACTAGCATATTTTCCAAATCTCTTACATAAACATCAACCAAAATACCAAGTAGTTCAAGAAGAAAAAACAGGAGTCATCTACAACATAGAGTGTAAAGACTCTAACAGCCACTGTGTAAGTCAGACAAGCAGAAGAGTGCATCCATGAATACTAAGTAGCAGTCAGAAAACACGATGAAAATTCCTTAATTTCACAACACATGAACAATCTCAAGCATAATTTCAACTGGAAAACTCAGAGATTCTAGACCAAACTAAATCTAAGAACATTAGGGAATTCTGGAAGCTTGGTCCTCAGACAAATCTGCCATCAATGGGCACATGGAGATAAATCACATTTATACATCATTCAAAAGAGTCTAAAAGAGACCCAAGAGTTTAAAAAGGGAACAAAAAAGACAAGCAATTAACACCCAGATAGGCAAGAGATTTACACCAGGATTAATACAAGACAAAAAAGCAGTAAGCAATACCCTAATCAAGAAACTATCAACTCAGATAAACAATCAAGCAATAAACAATAACCTAATCAAAGAACTGCCAAGGAGAAAAGAACTCCTTACTAACTCAGACAGAGCAAGCTATTGTATATAAACAAACCCCATTCTTTTCTAGCACAGAAGATGTTACTTTGCCAGTTAATGAAACATCTGCAAAAAAACAACCCAACTCAGAGAGCACAAACGACTCCATAGTTTATTTAGCTGTTACTATATCTATTATCTCCCAATTTGAACATCTTTTCCTTTTCATGTTTTGCTTGTTGTACTGACCTTTTGTGCTTTTAATCTACTTACCGCCCAAAGCTTTCTGAATGGGTTGCCTACAAAATTAATTAAAATATACATACATACATACATACATACATACATACATACATACATACATACTAGTTCAGTTCTCCAGTTAAGCAGATTCCAGTATGATTTTTGTGGTTTCCTTGCAGTTCTGTTTCCGGTGCAATCAAAATATGAAAGAAGGTGACCCAGCTGTGTATGCTGAGAGGGCTGGATATGACAAACTCTGGCATCCTGCTTGCTTTGTCTGCTGCACCTGCAGTGAACTCCTGGTAGATATGATTTATTTCTGGAAAAATGGAAAACTCTATTGTGGCCGACACTACTGTGACAGTGAAAAACCTCGCTGTGCTGGATGTGATGAGGTGAGCAAGAGTCTTCCTGGTTGTTCTTTAGTGCCTAGAAGAACTAATGACTGATGAGGCAAGAATCCCTTTTGCTCAGTTTTCTATCTGCCAAGATTGGCCACCGATGCCAAGCATTTGTAAAGAATACTCTGGTCAGAATCTGAGTGTGATGGATCTAATAGCAATTTTAGCTTTTAACCTTGTTAAATCTTTTTTTTGTACAGACAGAAAAAAGTTAAAGATCTCCATGCAACTTTGAATTCCAGTGGCAAATTATTTCCTTTAACTCCTGAAATAATTTAATTAGTTGACCTTAGCTGCCATGTGTGCACTCATGTTCCTGAGTTCAGAGGCATTCTTTCGGTACTACCAGTCAGTCACTACTGAATAAAGTAGAAGACGAGGCATAGAAGCCATCATACAGAAGCTTGGATTCACTTGAATTTTGGATAATGGGGGTGGACTATTTTGCGTAGGAGATGCTTTAGGGACATTATTAATAGAATAGTCCTCATGGATCAGGCCAAGGCTCATTTTATTGCAGCATTTTTGCTTTCACAGTGGTCAGAGTACACTGCCCCAGTTGTTCCATTGTGAGTGGTGTTTAAAAACAGATAAAGCCCTTCATATATCTATTCTCCATGAATTTATCCCCTCTCTTTTGAAAGACATCCAAATTAATGGCCATTATCATGTCCTCTGGTAATGAATTGCACAGGTTAATTATGCACTTTGTGAAAATGTGCTTTCTTTTATCTAAATCTTATTCCATTCAGCTTAACTGAAAAACCCTAGTCCTGCAGTTTGAAGAGAAGTACTTCTCTGTACTTTATATTATTTTATGCATCTCAATCAGATTCCGTTCAGTCAAAAAATCCCAAATAATCAATCCATTTCTCATAAGAAAATGTTAAAATCCCAATAGTGTTGCTAGTCATCATCTGCATTTTTGCTATTTCTATTATGTCCTTTTTTAAAAAATGGGACCAGAAATTGCATGATATTTCAGTTGCAAATATGTAATAACTTTCTTTATTGCCATTACAACATTCTCATTTTTATTTTTGCCTGCTTTTCCAAAGGATCCTAGTATGGAATTATATTTTTCTCCAGATTGCTATATTTTGAGTTGACATTTTTCTTTAAATATCCCAAGAAATATTGGGATATTGGTTCTGAGTGTGAAGTTATGATTTTTGCCCTAATGTGCATTCCTTTGTGCTTACTTAAACTGAACCAATGGATAAATTGTCAACATGTCTATTATAATATAATGGTTTAAACCAATGTTATATAAAGTTAACTATGAATTCTTATCATCTTATCCAAAATAAAAGTAAACAGTTTTCTAAGACTATTTACTTAGACATATTAGGCTTCATAGATAAATTCCACAACTATGATGCATTCATTGTGAACAGTGGCCTTAAAAAGTCCCTGGATTCCTTTTCTGAGCTTATCTCCATATAATACTATTTTTAATTGAGAACTACTTGAAGTTGTAGTCAATCAGAAAACTATTAAATAGATTTTGTCCTAGTTATAACACTTAGTCCAGGTGTTTGTCAGTTCAGACTGATGTGTGCCTCTCTCTTACTTCTGTTACATACTGTTTTGCCATATAGATGGTATGGCTCATGAATTAATTATCCTAGCATACCAGTTCAGTGAGAATTCTGTAAAATCAATTCAATGCATTAGTTGCACATGACAATTCAATTGCCACATAACAATTCCCAGAAATCTTTAGCATTAATCACAGTTATAGTTTTGTACAGCTCTATAAAAATAATTTTTTGTTAACTGAAATTGAAATGAGGAGGGTGGCAGTTCTTCATTTTCACTGTTTTTTTTTTAAAAGGAACCCTAGAAAGTTTTATTTAAAAATCCTGTCTATTAAATAGAACAAACTAATAACACACCAAGGCATGCAAGAGGCATGTCTTAGTTCATGTGCTGTGGTAGAAGAAAACAATTGTGCAACTAGATTAATGTGAGCCTGGTAACTTTGTCTTTCCTGTAGCTTATTTTCAACAATGAGTACACACAAGCTGAAGGTCAAAACTGGCATCTGAAGCATTTCTGCTGCTTTGATTGTGACTGTGTCTTGGCTGGAGAAATCTACGTCATGGTTAATGAAAAGCCCATCTGCAAACCCTGTTATGTGAAGAATCATGCTGTGGTAAGAAAGTCTAGCTTTGCCTGGAATATATAATTACTGTGTAAAGTTGCATACTTAAGTGGACTTTCACAAACCTTGTTTCATGAGTAGTTCCTTGAAAGACCATTCTCCAGGAGAAAAATAAGAGACAATACAATCTTACACATCATAAATCTTTATGGCATACTGTAAGTAAGATGATACAATAATACAGTATGTAACAATTACTAGCTGATTCCCAATCTTCCTTTTTAGATTTTTGAGAAAGTGATGGTGCTTGTAAAAGTTATCAGGGTCCTTTTCATTCAGGATTCAGAATGGGAATTCTGGGCATGGAGCAGAAATTGCACTGATCACTCTAATGGTTTGTCTATATCAAGTGTTTGATATAGGAGGGCTCTCCTTCTGGTCCTTTTAGATCTTTTGATAGCCTTGAGTACTGTCATTCATCCAAGATTGCCTGCAGCTATTGAGAGTCAGCATCTGCAAGGTTTGATGAAAGGCATTCTTTTAAAATATTTCAATTCCTTCCTATTCAACTCTATATGAAGATGTTGGATAAATTCATATTTCAATTCAGCTTACAGGATCTTCTCTAATGACACTCAATTATACATCACCATTCTAGGTTAGGTAGGAATTCAGTGGAAATGCTGGCATAATGCCCAGACACTGTAAGGGTGTGGATGAGAAAAAAACAAGACTTAGTCCTGCAGCATACAAGATTGGACTATTATAAAATGGAGTACGTGCTCTAACACCAGCAATATGATTATTAATTTCTGTCTGTCCTTGTATGGTGTTCTGAGCACAACTTTGAAATCAGGAGGGCTATGGTTCAGTAGTAAGGCATGTGTTTTGCACTTGTATAGTCCCAATTTCAATTTCAAGTTCTAGGTAGAGTTGGAAAAACTCCTGCCTGAAATCCATGAGAGCTGTTAATTGACAAATATTGATGATTTTGGACCATTGGTCTGACACAGCATGAGTTGTTGCATCGTAGTTAAGGGATTGGTCTAGGATCAGGAAGACTGGATCCTAAGGTGGCCTTCAGCTATGAAAGCACCTTGGAGAGTTTATTTTCTTAGTACAGCCTACTCTCACAGACTTGCCATTATGAAAATAAAAATGAAGTAAGACCCCCACGTAAGACCCCATAAATTCCTGGAGGAAAGATGGCATATAAATCAAGAGAACCTCTTGTATTCTATATGGGAACAAATGCCTATAAATAAATATTACAAAAATGCAAAACAGGATAAACAAGTTGAACTCCAAAGGTCTTGTGTGACCACTAAAACTCTCTCTGAATACAGTTCCTGAAAATCAGCAACACAGTTTTTCAGATAGGAAATGAGAGAAAATTGTAGCATAATCCTTCAAATGAGATTAATATAAAGTGGGAAGCCAAATCTCCAGCCCCAAGCCAAGAAACCCCCATGCTCTTAACACACTGTTGCTCACTTTACATCATTATTGCATATCCTTTTGCACAAGCAAAAATTTCTTTGAAGAACTGAGCAAAGCAGCTATTTCAATAAGCAAAAAATCTGCTCTATATACAAAGTAATCTTGAATAGAATTTATCTCAGTGAGACAAATCAAGCTATTGCTACATTTAGAATTGCTTTAAAGCAAATTCAGAGCACGAACTAGTGAGCATGTGAAAGAAACATGAAGGTCAGAGAATAATACTGTCTAGCACATAAATGTTCATGTTTGAAGGATAGTTGATCACAAAAATATAAGATATGATAAATTGCTTTGTTTGAACTTTGAATTTGCAGGATGACTTCAGAACTTTGCCTTTTAGTCTGCTATCTAAGCTTGATGAGTATACAATTATTGTGATATTTATTTTTATATTACAGTTTTGTGGATTGTATTTTGACTTTAGTGAACTGCTTTGAGTCAACTATGCTACAACATCCTAAAAGCCCCAGCACTGAATGAATCCCAAACAAAGCACAAACTAAACACCGTATATGCAGGATTAGAAAAGGGTGTGTGCATATGCATAGAGAAACAGTCCAATCCTCTGCTGCCTGCATAGAATTCTTAGCTCTGCCTATTATTGGCTTACAGAATTCCTGTATTATAAAATAAGTTGGAGGCAAAGAGATCAAAATTAATACAGACTACGGGAGTGAAAATTTGAAAAGGGAAATAACCATTCTAACCTCAAAATTATTTCATTCCTCAAAGACTTTTGGAAACAGCCAGTCATGAATAAGTTTCCTACATACATATCTTCAGAGAAGGGGCCAATTTCATCTCCATGAGCAATCTGTTCCTTCAGAAAATTTATGGCATACCTTCTTTGTCTTCATACATTATAGACAAGTTCTGCTTAGAGTGAATGCTGTAGTCTCAAAGATAATTGGGTCCTAAGATATACAGGGCTTTAAAGATCATATCCAGCACCTTGAATTGGCTGTCAGTGCAACTCCTACACAGTAGTAACAGATTAATGTGGCAGAATTAGGTTTGAGTTGTTGATGGGCAGCTGCATTCTACATCCAGAGAGTCTTCAAGCATCTGTAAAGCCCAATGCAGTATTTTGAATCAAGTTTTAACAAGGGTATGAGTGCCACGACTAGCATCTATTCCAGGAAAAGCTGAAATTGGTACATCCACTGAAATTGAGCAAAGGACTTCTTAGCCATGGCCTGCTCCACAGGCAATATCCATTAATTCAAGCTAATGCAAACTTGTCCTTTCATAGGGAGCAGCCAGGTTCTGAATTAATAGGTACTCTATCTGTTTGCTTGATTCTAAGCTGATATTACCTATCTTCTTCTTGTGCCATATCCATCATCGGATGTTGGCGATCATGTTGGCGATCCTATTTTTATCAACAGACGCACAAAAAAGTGTTGTTGAGTTTTATCCAAACCAGTCCCTTAGATTTTGAAGCCATGATGTTCTTCTTCTGCCTGGACCTTGTTTGCCTTCAATCTTTCCTTGGATGATTAAGTGAAGTATGCCGTATTTTTCTGGTTGTTGCATCACGTCCAAAATATTCTAACTTTCGTCTTTTTATGGTTTTGATTATTTCCCTTGGCTTTCCCATGGTATGAGGGGGGTATCGTTGCAAGGGGAAAGAACCGATATGCATATGCATTTAAGTACACTACAAGTTATAAGATTATTGGCATTTTTGTGTCATAGATCTAGAAAAGTTGACTAATTTCAACTAGTCAGTTATATTGTGTTGAATATTCTGGTCTTTGTTACCTTCCAAACTTTGAAAGAAATGAATGTTGATTTCCATTACTCCCCAGGTCTGCCAAGGCTGCCACAATGCTATTGATCCTGAAGTTCAACGTGTGAGTTACAACAACTTCAACTGGCATGCTACCACAGAGTGCTTTCTGTGCTCCTGTTGCAGCAAGTGTCTGATTGGCCAGAAGTTCATGCCAGTAGAAGGAATGGTTTTCTGCTCAGTGGAGTGCAAGAAAAAGATGATGTCCTAATGGGAAGGAAACGAAACTGGGAACCAAGTTTTGCCTTATTTGCCTAAATCCTCTTCATGTCTACTGTATTGGGGGATTTTTTTTTAACAAAATCAAAAATATTAAATGGCAGAATCCAAAGATTTTTATATTACTAACTTGATTGCTTATGATTTAAATTCTTAGGCACTTCTCAGTGCTCTTGGTTTCTTGTTGCAGGATGTTTCTCAAGATAGGGACTTCAACATATTCATACACTTCAAAAATGTCCTATAGAGGGATATGGTACCTCAGGCCATTAAATTGGACTGCATTTTCCATTATGAATAGTTGTTGGACATTAGAGTGAATCCTGATGAGAGTTGTGATGAGATATTGTGGAATCCCACAATATCTGGAAGACCATTGGCTTTGTATCTTGTCCTGTAGTCCTCAGATTTTTCTTCTATATTTGACATTATACAGATTCCTCAGTAACAAAATATTGATTGGATATGTTGTAAACCTTATGCCTTATACTGACATTTTCCAACCTAATGCATTCAAATGTGCTTTGTTAAAATTCTCACACTTGCCAGTTAATAAAATACACCAATAGTGTCCCTATAGTGTGAGTCTCATACTGAATTGTACTGTTTTAGACTCCATGAATATATGCACACATGAGCTTAGTACTCCATTTATTGCAACTCCCTGCATTTGCCATTATAGCATAGCATAGGAATTAACACTTTTGATATTTTTATATCAAGGAGTTTTTAAAGGGTAACATAACATTCCAACAACTGAACTCTTTGCCTTTAGAGCAGGGATCCTCAAACTATGGCCCGCCGAAGCCATTAATCTGGCCCACATGTGACAATGAGGCTGCCCCACCCACATCACCCCACTTACCGCCGGCCCCCACCTGCCTTCTGGAGGCCAAGGCCAAAACGTGATGCGTGGAGGCCTCAGGAGGCCAAAAACGGGCCCATTTTGGGCAGCAGAGTAGTACTGGAGTGGTACTGTTACCCTCCCCAGCCTTCAGAGAGGGAAGGAGGGAGGGAGACACACACACACAGAGACAGAAGTCCCTCACCTGCCGTCAAGGCAGCCACATCTCTTTGCTAACCTGCTTTCCACCCCCAGGAGCATAACAAATTAAAGTTTAATTTGTGTGTATTTAATGAACTGCTAAATCGGCCACACCCACCCAGTCAATGACCACCTAGCCACACCCACCCAGCTGTTCCAGCCCCCCCCAACAGTCTGAGGGACCATGAATTGGCCCCCTGTTTAAAAAGTTTGAGGACCCCTGCTTTAGAGTATTATAGTAGAGTAAGGTATGTGATAGTGGCAAATATCTGTAGCTTGTGTGTAGGATGACAGTGGACATTCGTTCTCCGAGCTTGTGGATTGGTTTCCAAATGTTTTATTACCAGGCTAGGTAGCTTCTTTAGGGGATAGTTTTTGTGTGGTAGTTGACTGTGTGGTGCGTTGTGGTTTGGGAGATGTGTGTTGGAATACAAATTTTTTTTTGTGAAGAAAGACTGAAGATGTTACTTAGCCTGGTAATGAAACATTCGGAAACCACCCACAAGCTAGGAGAACGAACCTCCACACTCGCAGTAAGGTAATAGTAGGCAGCAGCCTTCAAGCATAATTCAGATGATTCTTTTGAAAGCTTTTTAGCTCTCATTACAACAACAGATTGTAGCATTTACTAATTCTGGCTGATGCTTAAAAACATTAAGCAGCACTAAATATAATTAGTATTTATGTTAGAGATGATGAAGTTCCAGGACTGTAGGCTGGACATGGACATAGAAAAAAAAAATATCCTGGAAAAAGGAAGAGGCCAGCTATGGTTTTGCCAAAGTGTCTTAATTTAGTTTTTAATGGGCTTTGGAGACAAAACACTTGACATTTGTCATTATTTTTCAGTATTTACTTAAGTACACATTTTGCTCTTTAAGCTTAGAATGTGAACCTGTGGAGCCGGATGTAAATATGCACTAGTCTTTTCATCCTGTTTTTTTTCAGGAGATTGAATTTATTGTTGAATGTGGCCAGTTTGCCTTGAGCAACGTAAAACCTTTGATATTAGGGACATTTTGCAATTGCCTTTTGTTCCCCAGATTATTGATTTAATTTTTTGTAATCAACATATCAGCAAAACCAGGATTTTGAAATCTTCATTAGCACAAGCTCTTTTTTGTTTTTTTTGTTCTTTACTGCAACATTCTTAAAATATCAAGAGATCTAATTAATTCCCTGAGCAATGAGGACACGGGCTGCAATTCCAATGGACTTTTGAAAGTACAAAAAACCAAACTGCTCTGTCATGCTTTGCAATAGCTCTGGGTTTGTTACTTCCCCTTATACTGTGTTGCTGAATCAAGTTAGGTCAAAAAAGCCATTTGAAGGACCTTCATTCATGTAGAGTGTAAATTGCCCCTGAAGCTGGTATAGAGGCTATGTTTGCTGGGCATCCCGTAATTCCCAGATCCTTTTTTCTCTTCATGTATTGTAAGGGGTATCTTTTCAATGTGATGTTTATTGTATGCACGCTGGTTCTCTTCTGATTTAGAATTCTTAAACAAATCCACTTGAGTGAAGGCGGCTTCCAGTTGCTAACATTTGCTCAGTCAAGAGTCCCAGAGATAAGCATACATCTGTCCTCCCCTCATATATTCTAGAATGTATCCAATCAAATATTAATTAAAACAATAATATGCATAAATCGGAAGCTAGTCTTTTGCCAAACAAAGGGCCAATGTCCTACATACTTTGTTTCTAGAGATGCCCCTGGACTTGATCTGCAAATACAGACTACAGGGGTTTTTTTGGCATATGCCTATCTGCCAAGAACAAACCTTGGGAACTTTTAAGACATATGCATTTCCAGCCCCAGAATTCCCAAGCCAGCATGGGGAATTCTGGAAGTGGAACTCCACACAACTTACATTTGCCAGTTCTGGGAAAACCTAACCTAAAATAAAGCCTATGCATGTGTGTATATAGTCACAGAGAGGAACGTTGCCAGGTTGTAGGGAGCATTTAAGGGGGTAGAAGAAAGAGTGAGGAATAACTTCACCAGTTTGCATTCTAGTCAATTATATCTTCATCATGGCAATTATTTTGTATATGGATATGGTTTCTCAAGAATTTGAATTGGTAATAGCTGTGATATATTCTAAGATGTTCAAATCTGATATAGAAAAATCAAACAATCCTGAACTTATTTTTGATGAATTCACCAGAAATTGAAGTGAGTAAACCAAGAAATTACCTCATTTCATATCTGCTCAGCCAGTGTCTCATTTGACATTCTTTTGAGCTGTGGAAGCTTAATGACAACTTGGAATGTACTGAGAATGAACTTAATAGCTGAACTTCTGTTTTCCATGAAAAAAAATAAATTCAGGTTTAGTATCCTGGTAGGACTGGTCAGTTCCTTTATGTGAAATCCTGTAGAGTAGCTGTCAGTTTGTACAGGAAATATGATTCAGTTTGATCACTGGGCTGACTCAGAGTTATATACCAAGCTTTGGTTATGTATGATGTAATAAGCAGCACAGGTAGAAGGTTGGCTTTGTAAACCTTATAAACTTATATATCCCAGCTCTTCTGACTAGTAACTGTATGCATATAAGAAATGCTCACAAATAAAATATGTTGCCAGAATTAAAAAATTTTAGCTTTAGATTGTGTGTTTTATTTTCTGTCTTGGCCACTGTAATGAGCATGCTATTCCAGCAGAGGGTGATGTGTTCAAACGTTAAAAAAAGAGTTTGTTAAGTAAGTTAAAATTTATACTTTACTTTGATGTTAAAAAAAAAACACCAGCCCCTTTCCTTTTTCATAATTCTAGACCCTTAATAATAGTTGCCTGAATAAGCCCTCCCACAGACTTATAGCATATTTGTTGAAGTTTTATAATAATTATATTATATTACTTAATTGATTGTAAATCAGATGTCTTTAAAATTCAGTGATCGTAGTATGTACTGTATATAATCCAAGCTTTGATTTCAGTCTGAGATTTCAGTTTGAGGTTCAGTTTAAATAATTTTCATAGGTTATAATAGAAAATTACCAAAATCTCTATGGCTAATTTCTTTTCACAGATTGGGAGAGAAAGTAGCAGATACAACAGTCTCTTTATATGTATTAGTGCTGGTTATCTTCAACAGTTTCACCAGAATACTTTTTGGTATTATTGCCTTGCATCTCTTAATGTGATTTTGCATATTAGCTAAAAAAAACCTAAATGTCTCTTATACCTCAAGTTATAGTAGATGACAAAAATGAATACTAATTGCTTAGTTTTGTATTTACTCTCTGCAATAAATAAATATATGTACAAACAGATGTTTTTGCAAATACAGATAATCAGAATGTGTCTAAATCAGTGTTTGTCAACCTTGGCAATTTTAAGATGCATGGACTTCAAATTCTCAATTCTCAGCCAGCAATGCTCCCCTGCCAAGGTTGAGAAACAGTAGACTAAATCTGGCTGCAGAAACAGAATCTCTAGGAATCCCTTAGTGTAGTGCCAAAGCTTTCCAGAAGCTGCCCCCAATTGTAATTTGTAATATACTTAAACAGTGATTAGTGAATTCATGGAAAGTAAGCCTATTAATTTCAACCTAATTTTGTCCTGAATACATTTTTTAAGAGTCTAGCCTCCAAAGGCCAAATGTGAGTCCTCCTCTTAAAATAGATTTATTCCTGATCTAGATGCATTTATTTTCTGTAAAATAAATGCATCTAGATCATTTCTGATGTATTTCCTGACTAAAAGCAAGACTCAGATGCTAAAATTAAAATGACTGCTAATCATAATAATGCAAAATCTGAAAAGTACACTCCAGTGCTGATGGGTGCATGCATTGAACACCTTCCAGCACAGCCAGGTACTGTATTTGGAAGCTTTTACAAAGCCATGAGCTTCTAGAATGCTACGAGCAGGTGCCATCCTCACCTTTGGGACATGGGGAGAAGCTGTTCCAAAGAATATCAGAAACTCCTGATATTGTGAAAGGAAAGAACCTTCAGCAAATGTTCTGCAGCTGTCCCAATTGGCCTGAAAGAATCCATCTGGGAAAGGTAGTCAATTAGTGTAGCTACACAAACCTTGAGCCTTTCAGGGCTTTCTAAGAAGTGACCAGCACCTTGAAATGAACTATCAACCAATGTATCTCTCCCAATCGGGCTTGTATATTTCTGGTCATTGGTGGATATTTTCATAGAGCTAAAAAACCTAGGTCAGAATTTAGCACAGGTCAGGTTTGCGTAGAAATCAACAGTTTCTCATCTTTCATTCATTTCAAATAAATAGATCTTAGGCTCAGTAGTTAACTAACTCATTTCTTAGTTGCATCTTGGTCAAAAATGTCAAAGTAATACATGTGACTCTTATTTAAAAAAATGGATAATGTTTCAATTATGCAGTCTTGTTAAGGATATTGTTGTGTCACCACCAGAGTCATGGTTCATAAAACAGAGTACCATCAGAAGTTTTTACGTACGGAAACAGTATTGAGAGTAATTGTGAATAACATGCAGACAAACTGGTTTTATATTACTTTAATATAATTTGCTTAGAGGGTAAAGCAAAATCAGTCATTTAACAATCCAAGTCTTAGCCATATAAAGTGCAATATAAGATCAATCCAGGGATATAAAATCTTCTTACCAGTTTGTACAAAAATACAAGGAACATTCAGGAACAATATAAAAACAGTTCAATAAATATCAGGAAACAGTAATAAATAAACCATGATCAAACATTGACCATTTAGAGAGATCAAAAATAGTTACAGCATAGCAGCAGGTAAAAATATGGTGTAGAGATTACACTAACCATAATTAAGCTCTTCTTAAATACATTGGCTACAGAGCTCATCCAATCAGCATGCAGAATGACTCAGCAATGTTCTTAAAGATACATAATACATTTACACAATACAAACATATAATGTTGGCTTATATATTTCCTGGCCAACTAGTTAGGCAATGACCATTTCCTAACAAGTCTCAGCTGCCATCTTGATTTTTTTGGGGACATCTTCTCTCCCCAACCCATCCTGCCCTGTCAAAATTCCTCTTTGCTTTAATAATCTGTGACCTCCTCTCCAGCCAGTCTGACAAGATATTTCTATCTTCCTTAATACAAATTGAGTGTTGCAAAAAGGATAAAGCAAGCTGTATCCTGCATGATGTTACTTAATTGTATTTGTACAAATTATGTTGCAATTTAAATCCAATCCTTTACTGAATTTTCATTCATATTGCATTCTACTACTCAAAACATTTTAAGAGTTTTATCCCACTCATCACTTGTTTAATGCTCTAACTAATAAAGTAATCATATGAGAAGTAATTTGCCAGAATTGCTCATGAGTTATGGAACTTGAGTATGATTTAAACCAGGCCGCCCCTAATCTGCATCTGAAATTCTAACCATCCTCTATAACTCAGGATTACATCCCTTACGCCTGCCAAAGCCTTGGCTATGATCAAAAGCCTAGGTAACAAATGCTAACCTACATAGAGAAGAAACTTGTACATTAATTAATCCAGATAAAATCTACCCATATCTAGCTTCTCTTCTTTTCCTTCCCAACCCTTATTTGGAATTTGCTCCCAACTTTTCTTTACAAAGTTCTCCTGCTCCTAACATTTGTTTGGGATAATTAGGCTATCTAGTCCTCAACAATTTTCTCTGCTTTATTTTTTTTAATAACTGAAATATTGTTATGACAAAAACTTTCTAACTACCCCAAATTTTTTTTTTTTGCAGAGCTTTATTTTTTCAAAGGTTTTCTGATGTCACTATTTCTTTCTGAATTCTTTAATTGCACATCCATTGAAAAAAATTAACATAATTAACATTTTCACTGAGGAAATATTTATTTTATGATGTTTTTACTTTCAAATGCTGATATGTTGTTAGGAAAATTTGTTTTCTGATCATTTTTGTTGTTTACATGTTTGTAAATATTAGATGGTCTGATTTCTTTTGGCCACATTATCTTTAACAAGCTTTCTGAATCCCTTTCTTTCAATCTTTTTAGGAATATTCTCCACTTTATTCATTTCTTCATTTGTCAGAATATGAATATCTATGTTCTAAGTATTATGAATATCTGAGTTATGATTTATATTATGCAATGTATGTGTTTGCATTTATTTGTTTCATACTTGAGGTGGGATGGGGGCAATACATTATACAATTCTTGCTTAAATGATTTGCTTTTTTGACATATTTGTTGTTTTTCAGAAGGCTGTTTAATACATGATTTATAAATGGCTTAGAGAATTATTAAGTTTGACTGATTCAAGCTACTTCACTACCTGAGGTAAAGCAAAGTTTGCACAGCCAATAAATCAAGATCTGTAGCAACCAAAATTACTTCAGCATATGACATATAACATTAAATATTTTTTTTCTTCCATGCCTGGCAGTAAAAGTAAATAAACAATTGTCTGCCTTTTATCATATCTAAAATCTGCTTTAGCAATTACCTCACTCTTACTCATGGTAGGGTTGGTGGTGTTCCTTACCATCAAACTGTGAATGAGACTAATTGAAACTGCACTTTCATTATTATTATTATTATTATTAATGTTATAGTTAATATCAAAAGGGCTTTAAACTAAAATTGAGGGGGGGGGCATCTTCATGACCTTTAGAACCTAATTCCAAACAAATACCACTAGATAACCAACCTCATAAGGAGGTAGGGTAGGAGGTAGGGAGTTTAGGGAACAAACAGGGTGAATTTGAAGCATTAGTACATGAAGGCAGATACGATTTAGTTGCCATTACTGAATCATGGTGGGATGAAACTCATGACTGGAATGTATTGATAGAAGAATACAAACTATTCAAAAGAAGCAGACCTAACAAAAGAGGAGGTGGGGTTGTATTATATATAAAAATCACTATATCTCTACAGAAATACACAAAACTAAAGATGAAAACCTTCTAGAATCCATACGGGTCAATATAAAAAGAAAAAAATGACATTGCCATAGGCATATATCACAGGCCACCCAAACAAGCAGAAGAAATAGATGAACTCTTTGCTAATCAATTAACACATGTATGTGGGAAACATACCACAGTAATAATGGGAGACTTTAATTACCCTGACATCAACTGGGAGACAAACCCTCTGCAGCAACTGGCAGATCAACTGGCAGATCAAACAAATTCCTAACCAACTTAGCTGACAACTTTGTCATCCAAAAGGTAGAGCAGGGAACTAGAGGAAAAGCTATACTAATTTAACCCTAATTCTTACTAATAGAGAAGAAGTGATAGAAGAAGTTAAAGTCGGTACCTTCAGCAAGAGTGACCATGTCATATTGGAGTTCAGTCAGGGGTGAAATGCTACCAGTTCGCTCCAGTTTGGGGCTAACCGGTAGTGATAAAAATTACCAGTTAGCCAGAACCGGTAGTAAAAAAATGCTTTAAAAAGTAAAAAAAAAAAAGTTCTGACGATCACTGATCATTGTCAATCAGCTGTGCCGCGCGATTGTGGGAACCTTTTTAAAAACTTTTTTAAAGCACTTTTTACTACCGGTTTGGGCGAATAGGTAGTAAAAATTGCTTTAAAAAGTAAAAAACTAAAGTTGGCCATGCCCGCCCAGTCACATGACACCCCACCACCACCACCAATTCACACCCACAAA